CCTTCTGCCTCCAGTGCAGCTCTTTCTGCCCATCGGTCCTGTCCCTGTGCTTTGATAAAACCACCTTTTTGCACCAAAGATGTCTCAAGAATTCTTTCTTGGCCTTCGGCTTCGAACCCTATCTTTCCTACATCAGTCAGTGCCACAGTCTGCGGTGAAATGGTCCGCAATGCCAGCCCGAGTTCCAAGGGATGTCTCGCAGCTGGGACCAGGGAACCCTCAAGAAGTGCTGCTCCAGGGGGCTTGTGTGCTTGGGCTCCTCCTGAAGGCCTACCTGGATATGGCAGGCATGGACTTAAGGGAGGGCAGCCAGTGCTGGGGCTCTTGGAGGTGCCCTGCCTCATGCTCAGTGCATCTGTCCTTGCAGAGATGGGGTTCCTGGCTGGTGTGTCCCCCCCCTTCAAAGTCCAGAGACCTCTGACTTGGCTCCATCTCACTAGCCTGAATGTCAACCTCCATGTGAGAGGCCAGCAAGCTTGGCACACAGCAGGGACTCCATAAATCTGGGTCACCTGATGTTGGGGGCCTCTCTAGGGACAGCCACACTGGGCATGGGGTTCTCAGGCCTCCAAGAGGGGCCCACCTGCCTCTACCATCAGATGGGACCCTCCCCACAAGGTACCTTTGCTCCTGCTGGTGAGCCCACCACCCTTTTCTAACCATCGAAGGTCACCTCTTCCCAGTGATTCAAACTTTATTCTCAGAAATTCTTTATTTCCAGGGCACCTGGGTGGCTCAGTCGGTTAAATGTTCAACTCTTGATTTCAGCTCAAGTCATGATCTCAGGGTCATGAGATCAAGCCTTGTATCTGGCTCTGCACTCAGCATGGAGTCTGCTTGAGATTCTCTCTCCTTCTCCTTCTGCCCCTCCCACTCATGCTCTTTCTTGAAAGAAAGAAAGAAAGAAAGAAAGAAAGAAAGAAAGAAAGAAAGAAAGAAAAAGAAATTCTTTCCTTTTAAAGTTGTTTTTTAAAAAAGAGGGGTCAGTGCCTGGCTGGCTCAGTGGGTAGAGCATGCGACTCTGAATTGCAGGGTCATGAGTTCAAGCCCCATATTGGGCATGGAGCCTATTTAAAAAGAAAATGTTTCTTGTTACATACACAGAAGAATAATTTGGTATAAACATGTGTGCCCATGAACCTCTCCTGTCTTGTTCCACTTGACTCCCCACGCCCAGGATCAGTTGCCCTTAACAGAACACTATTCATCATCTTTTATATAGGAACAATAATACTATCTTTCATAGGGTTATTGTGAGTTAAATCAGTGAATATACACAAAGGACATAAAGTGCGCCTACAAAAATCATCAGGGCTAAGGAAGTCAGAGTGGCTACACTTGGGCACCAACCAGGAAAGGTGATCTGAGTGCGACCAGAAGAGAGCCCCACAAGGCTTTGAGGTCTCCGGGAAAATCAGCTTGCTGAAATGGGTACTAGTTTTATAGGGTAGTGTGTGAAAATTCATCGTGCAGTATGCTGAACGTATTTGTAATTCCTTTCTATGTATCTACTTTTAAAAATGATGTTTTTTTAAAAAATGTGCATGAAAACCGGTAAAAATTCCTGGGATATCCAAAAGCTGTGGGATGGGTGGTATTCGGGCCTGTATCTCTAAGCAGAAAAGAGCCCAGCTAATACCTGGGGTAAAGTTGGAGTAAAAGTTAATTCTTATATATATACAAAGCAAAACAAAAAATGAAGTAAAATATACATGTCGAGACAAACCTAACAAAATTTAACTGAAAAAAGATAAATCACTTCTTCATGCATGCTTTTAGTAGCTGAATATATATGCTGGAAGGTTATATATGTATGTAAACAGGCATAGCTTGTTTTATTGTGCTTTGCAGATACTGTGTTTTTTATAAATTAAAGGTTTGTGGCAACCCTGAGTTGAGCAAGTCTATTGGTGCCCTATTTCCAATAGCATTCGCTCATTTGTGTCTCTGTCACATTTTGATAATTCTTTTTTTAAAAAGATTTTTAAAAATTTATTTGAGAGAGAGCACAAGAGCAGGGGGAGGGGCAGAGGGAGAGGGAGAAGCAGACTCCCTGCTGAGCAGGGAGCCCGATGCAG